TCTGGGAGTTGAAGTCCACAAGTCTTAAAGTTGCCAAGGTTGGACACCCCTGATTTAAATAATAATTTACAATTAAAAGTATAATCCTTTATGCAGAATGAGATATTGGTGGGTTCATGTCTCCTGATTGTGATACAGAGGTCGTCATAACTCTTCATATTAAGTGGATTTATTGCAACTACTACTTTGTGAGCTATCTGAAAATCATGATTTGATGTAGCATCTAATTAAGTCAATTTCCATTTGTAAAATTTTGTTAGTAGAATTAACAGTTAATAAAAGAGAAATGAAGGACGTTTTGATTTAGAATATAATTATGTTTAATTCTACTTGTTTCATTTATAGCTTTATAGAACATTGAGTATTACTAATGATCTGGATGACTTAACTCCATCTTCAGATTCAACTACAGAGGATATTGAGTCACTTTCTTCCATTTACAAGGAAGCTATAGTGCTGATAGAAGAACTTAGTTTAGACTGTAAAGGTGAGCACATTTGTAGTTGTCAAGCATAAATGTTTTCTTATGAATAGATAGTGTTTCTTTGATAACTGCTTTTTTAAATCAAGGTTTTTGTCTCATCTTTCAGATATATAATGAAAAAGAGTCAACCAATCAAATAAAAATCTCAGCATTCTTAGCCAGCATGACTATTGGCTGTACTGTTTGAAAATAATAAGTGTTGTAGAGCCCATTTTGGAATTTAAATGTTCATTTAGACTACAGTTGCAGTCAGTCATCATTTTCAGTAGCAAAAAGAAATAGTTTTCAACTATCAAAGAAAAAATAAGAAAGTCCAGTTGCCTTTTGAAAAAGCACCTTTGGGGCAACCATGACCTGGATTACTGAGAATCTCCATATCTAAGAGGATATTGAAAATAGTAGTAGGTATTGTAGTTCCTTGAAGGGATGTAATACCATCGATTACCATCTAATTATGTTAATAGGAATTCCCCTTTTTAAAAGATTTGAAGAACTGTAATTAGAAAACTCTTGAATTTATCTTCATCAATTTTAGCAGATTAATCAAAAACAAAAGCAGGAACTTATCTGTAGTATCTAAAATCATCGAATAATAAAGTATTAAAATGCTAAGAACACATGCCTTATTAAATATCTATCTGATATTTGGTAGTTTAATTTACAATTCCCATACATACTTCTCTAAAATAGAATCATTAATCTTTTCATGCCAGTGTATTCTGTAAAAGCTTTTAAAAGTTACCACAATGTGTGCACATTAGTTAATAAGAGAAGGTCATGAATAATTCTGATTTAGGACATGAGTTGAGCAGGCTTTGATTTAGTGTGAGCTGAAGAATGATGTTTTCAAACAGAATGCAGTCAGCCTTTAGAGGTATATGTTCACATATGCTCAGAAAATATAATGTAGCTATACTTTAAGAACATTTTTCACAAATTAATTGATAATTTGACTTATTAAAACTGGGATTATGTTGTAATTTGGAAACTAATGCCCAATGGCAATTAATATAGCAGACACTAAAGCAAAACATTAGACAACTGGTTATTTTTAAATGCATGTTAAAAATATAATTAGAGCTGCTGCCCTAATCAGTGGGATGTGCAGAAGGCATTAATATGAGAACAATCATTCTGGAATTCTCTGACAAGATATACTTCCACAAAATGCCAGATTGCCTCAACATTACACGGTCCAAAAGAAGTTTGGTTTTGTCTGAAGCAAAGCAATTGATATTAAGATCGCAATTTTGTAAAATGGCACAAATAAAATTTTGTGTATCTTGCCTTTTCTCCAGTTTGTGGCTGATAAAAGAGGTTTTAACGAAACTTTTTCTGTGTAGTATTGCCAAGAAATATTTTCCTTTCCCCTAATCTCAGACCTGCTGGCGGAAAGATACAGCACTGTCAATAGTAGATTTGAAAAAAGAATCCCTTTGAAATGGAGGAAGTAGAGTTGTGATAGGTGTTCTGGCAGTGCCAGTTCTCTGTGCATCACTACTAGCCCTTCACCTGGAAGAACGTTGTTATATTATCTGACAAGGTCACAAATTAAGTGATCCAGTTGCCAACTTGCCCCCATTTGCCAGCTTGCTAAAGTAAGCTAATGAGTGTTGGAGAAAGTCTTTTGGTGCTACTGGCTTTTTCCTTCCGTAGTTTTTTCTTTACAGATAAATATAAGGACTATATTGTGATATAATTACAGTAATTACATTACTGCGATGTAATATAAGTAATTTAACTTAAAGAACAAAGCTAATATACTCTGCTTGAATTTAAAAAAATATATTAATATGAATAGATATTTGTGTGTCTTTTTTTAAAATTAAATTGTAATGCAAAAAATATTTTTAAAAAGTTTAAATGTTTCCTCAGTTATACTTTATTGATTACAAATACTTACACATTCAAATAGTTACACAAGAGGGAAAGTGGTCCAAGGAAGATATGCAACTCTGGAAGTTGGAATATGGAGCTTCTTTTCATCCTGTGCTCTTGAGCTGCAAGGAATTCCTGAAACAGGATTTGGATACCCTTTGCTATTGTAAAAAGGTGGCTTTGTCAACCTTGGGATCCTCCCGAATAACTGAAGAATCCTGTAGTTTGACTATTTAGAGACAGAAAGACCGGGAGAGTAGTAGAGATGGAAGAAGACAACATGAGGGGGCTGCTTACAATGTTTCATGCATTGTAGAATGAGTATGTGATGATTTCTGACAATGGTCTATATTACACTTCCACTGTCATTGTGTCAGCAGAAGTGACCAAGCAAGTGTAATGTTTCTACTATGGTCTATAAAGGGTGATAAAGTTGGTGGTTTGCTTGCTTTTTTCTGGCTATGAGGGACCCTATTATCAATGCCTGATCATTTCCAGCCATTAGTTATTTCCTTCTTGCCTTCCGCAGGAGTTGGAGCTCTTCAAACTTCTTGTTCTTCGTGTCACATCCTTTCCACCCCCAAAATTTGACAGTCCATCTCAAAATTTGCTCATGATTCCCCCACAGAGATCATAATCCCTTTTAGTAAGTTTATTTTTAGTAAGTTTATCCTAAAGCTAAGTAAACTTGCCCATGTATTTTTAAAAACCAATTGGATTCCGCTTCTTTCTTTATGACTGAGCCATTGATTATTTCTTAGCTGCCATTAAGGAAAACATTTGAGTATTTTTGTGGAAGATGGTGTGTGTCATTCTTCTTTTTAATCAAATATCACATTGAATAAGTAATGTTAACACATACTTTTTTTTTCCAAAGCAGATTCTGTAAATCTCTTGAAAGTTCAGAATATATTTCATGGATATGAACGACTAATTGAACATGAGAAGGGGCGTTATACTCAATTGCTTGAAAAAGTAAAAAAAATTGAAAATCAGAGAAATGAATGGCAAAAAAATCTGGAAGACTTGAAAGATATGAAATCTATATTGGATCATCAAAAAGTACAATATGAAAGTGAAATCACCAATCTGAAGTAAGAACTTTTAAATAAATAATTGATTTTGGTATAATGTCTCCAACAGTGTTTTTTTTTATTTAAAGAAACAATAGTAAATTGAATAAATTATTTATTGTTTATTATTATCTATTAAACTTGTCTGCTGCCCATCTCACCACAAGGCAACTCTTAATGTTTATTTGGTTGTTAAACCATGCAATATTGTCTGAAATAAAAAGAAGATTCAAATTTTTTTAATGAGAAATGTATCAATTAGAAATTAAATGACAGATTATTTGATATTATTTGAATAAAATATTTGATTCACTAGATTGAAACTATTTTGTCATAATTGGACTATCAAATTTTTTCGAGTGTTGTGTGTTTTATATGTATGACTAGCATATTAGACTTCCTATAGTCTGAGAAAAAAGCTCTTGCAAATAAGCCCAGAATATCTGCGCATTCTTCCTTTTTCAGGAAAACCTAACAGTGCATGATTAACAAGCAGATCAAGATATCTATATCCAAAAAATCTTAGAGGTAAATTGGGTGCTATACTAAACATAGCTAGTTGTTAAGACTTTTGTACGAAGATTACTAAAAGTCTTCAATGTAACTGTTGATTTCAATTTCTAAAACTTCAGTTTTCCCCTCTATCTATCTACACACACGCACACAAACACACACACACACTTGTTAACTTGCTAATTCAGTGTAAATACTGGAACCAGAGCAAGTAAGCAAAGCTTAGTTCCACTGTACACATACATTTCCTTGCTTTTCATGTATCTATTGCACAAATCTATTTTAAACATTTACTCATGTATTCCAGATTTTGTCTGAAACAAGAGGAAGAAAAAAGAATGGGAGCTGATATACTACATGAGAAAAATCAAGAACAGTTAAGGAAGAAAGATGAGCAGTACTGTACGCAGATGGAAGAAAAACAACAGCTTGAATTGATGTTGAGAAGCAAAGAAATGGAGTTAAAAACACTAACAAACCATCTGAAACAGGTATGGTTGAATCAATATATTTTTTTTGAATTATGAAAATAAACATGTTCATGTTTTCCAATAACCAACATTTTAAATAAATATTAATACACTTTTTAAAACTTCTTTAACAGCATGCTTCCCAAAAAGGTCAGGGCTATCCATTATAGAAGAACAGTGCTTATCTGGTAAACCCTTTACCCATCAGCAAAAAAACAAGCAGTATAAATGTCAGCAAATGAATATAAAGTGGCAATGCCCTAAGAAAACCTAACTTCCTCTCTTAGTTAGCGGCACTTACTACCCTGTTAATAGAAAGGGAGGGGGGGAAAGGGGTGGGTGGTATGAAGACAGGATGGAATTTTGTGAGTGTCCTAAACAGACATGATATTCTTCTGATTAAAATCGGAATTCCGATTTTTTGGGGAATCGCCCCCCCTTTCCCCCCCTTCTTCTCCTCCTTCTCCTCCCCTCGGAGGCCCCGAGTCAGGAGTTGCTACTGCTGGCGCAGCTCTGCGTGGCTCCAGTCCTGCGTTGCCTCAGGAAGGGAAGGGCAAAAAGGAAGAGCCACAGCGGCGCTTTGCAACGGCAGCAGCGGCTCCTGGTTTTGCCTTTCCCTTCCCGAGGCAACGCGGGACTGGAGCCGCGCGGAGCCGCGCCGGCGGTAGCAACTCCTGACAGCCCCAGCCGGATACCTGAGCGGAGCCCGGGCGGTGCGAGCGGAGCCCGCTGAGCGGCAGGAAAAGGGAGCTGGGCAGCGATTTCTTGGCGCGCAGTGGGGGGGTCTCTTTTGGCCGGCCCCGATTTTTTTTTCAGAGGGGAATATCATGCCTGCCTAAAGTAGTTTACGTTTGAGATAGAGCTTGGGACTCATCGATTGACAAAATATATTTTGTAATAAGTGTTGCATTTTTTTCTTTTATTCTAACATAATTGACTTATACAGGTGGGTCATTTAATGACCTCTTGTTTAGTGACCATTTGAATTTGCAGTAGCATGAACGACTGGTGGTTATGACCAGTCCTCAGAGTTCCAGTTGTTGCAGCATCTCTACAGTGATAAAAAATTCATCGTCACATGTTTCAAAAGTATGATATAACTTACAGCAACCTGCAGTCATGTAACCACAATATTCAGCATTTCCTATGGGCTTCTTCCAAGCAGAGTCATTGGGGAAGCTAGCAAGAAATCCTTGCTTAATGACCTTTGAATCCTCGCTTAACAGCAGCAGCCAGGATTGTTGGAAGTTCTGTCACTAAGAGGCACGGTCACGTAATGTCATGTTTATGACTACATTGCTTTAAAAGGTCCCCTTTATTTTAGTATTCCATACTTGAATAAATATTATTGTTGAAATTTTAGAAAAATCAATTAAATGGGAAAAAAACATATAAAAACACAATTTAGGATAAGTTTTTTTTAATTGCAGGTAGCAGGAGCTTCCTATCTTCTGTGACGAGCTGCCTTTTTATTTTGAAAGACATTTTCCTATTAATCTCTGTATTACGTGACAGCTCTCAGAGTTTCTGTCCCATGTTGATTTTTGCTATAAATTATTAATGCTAGTTGACTGCTTTTTATCTATATCTTTCTTTTTCTCTTAAGAACATAAAGATTAGCAGTGGATCAGACCCCTGGCCCACCAATCTGCTTTCACAATGGCCAACCAGTTGCACAAGGAAGCCCACTAGTCTCCCACCCGTTGACTTTCAGAGGCAGTTAGACTGCTGTCAAGGCTAATAACCATTGATCACCATGACTTCCATTAATTGGTCCAGCCTGTTTTTGCCAGCAAGTCAGTCTGGTAGCCAACACCCTATGGCTGTAAATTGCTAAGTTTAATGCTATGTTGTGTAAAAATAGTATTTTCTGTTATTTGTCCTGATCTTTTCAGGATTCAATTTCATTGGATAATCTCTGTTTCTAGTATTTTTGGAACTGGAAATTAGCTTTTCCTTTGTCTGCATGCGTGCACAATTGATTTACCTAAGATATTTCAGTATCATTTCTTGTTATCCATAGCATGGTGTAGGCATTTTTTACAAATATACTCTGTGTCAACAATTATAATGAATTGTTTATGATTACTTCAGGATCTTTTCCTGATTAGTCACTGCTAGCTGTGGTCCCATTTTAGCGCCAATAAGCATTACTTTACAATTGCTCATTTGAATGATAACTGCCATTTGGACATTCAGTCCCAGCTTCCTAATGTGCAGATAACTGTTTGGAGCTTTTTGCAACCCATTATTTTTTTTACTATTCTAAACAATTTAATGTAATCATCAAATTTTGCTGTTCCACTAATCACATCCATTTCCAGATTATTTATATATGTTAAAAAGCACCAGCCCTATGATAGAACCTGGGAAGTGCTGTTAATTATCCATCCATTGTAAGAAATGCCCATTTACTCCTATTCATTATTTCCTATTCTTTATCCAGTTGTTTATCCAAAAAAGGATTGTCCTTTATATTCCATGCCTGTAAAACTTATGGAGAAGATGACAGATTTTATCAAAGGCTTAAAAAAAAATCTAGATAATGTTACTGTCTCACCTTTATCCATATGTTTATTAAAATCTTTTTAAAAAAAAAAACTTTAGGAAATAAAGCCTTTCCTTAATGAAGCTATGTTGGTGATCTTTGAGCAAGGCCTGTGTCAACAGTGCTTGCTAATTTTATCTTTAATAGTAGCTTCCACTAACAAAACAGATTTTAAGATGGTAGGCCTATAATTTCCTGAATCACCTCATGAGTCATTCTTAAAAAATGGAGTTATGTTGGCCACATTCCAGTTTTCAAGGAGCAAAGGCTGAGTATCGAGATAAGTTGCGTATTTTAGTTAGAAGGTCCACAGTCTCAACATTAAGGTCCTTAATAATTCTTAGTTAAATTTGTCAGTAAGGCCTAGAATAGAATAAGTAAAAGCCTAGAATCGAACATCTTGGATGGATGAATACATCAGGGATGTGGCAAAATGTTCCAAGAACGAAAGTGAACCTTTCGTTGAAAGTTTTCTTAGCACATTGAGACAACTAATGCAGAGATTTAATAAGCCAAGGAATATGAATAGTAAAGAAAATGCTTCTCTTTTTATCCCAGTTTTATTCTATGATATCCATTCTATAATAATACCATATTCTCAATGAAACTCTTATTCTGGCAGATAGATGAATCCAATATGATCTAGTTAGGAACTTACACTAGCTGACATAACCATGATAAGATAAGAGGCTTTTGTGGTTTGCTTAGGACACAGCAAAAATATAATACTGTTGAGAATGACAAGTATTCCCTTACAATGTAGTTCACCAAAATTACAAATTTTATTTAAGAGAAACAATAATAGTAAAAAGCTAAAAAAAAGCTAAAAGTAGGAAAAATTAAGCCACAATGGGATTATGGAAGGTATAAATGCAAGGAACTCCTTGTTATACTTGCTTTGCTAAGGAAAGATCCTAGTGTTTTGATTTGTTGCTTTTTCTTTTTTTTTTTTAAAACAAGTTTTATTAATTTTTAAAACACACAAATTATCATTATTCATTACATGTTTAAACCTTTTTCCCTTATAAATTTAACAAGTCAGATAAATTATGATTCTGTTTTAAACCATTTCCATATAATATACCAAAACCTCTTATTCAATTTCTCTTTACTTCTCTTTACTCTTATTCAATATCATTATTATTATTTCATCTGTTTCTTTCTGACTTAGTTACCATTATTCTCATTCTATATTTCTACAAGTTTTTACCAATTCTCCCCCCAAAAAAGACATATACACACAACACACAGAACATAAAAAAAATATCTTTTTGGAAAGTAACTTGGACCCAGGTGTCTCTCTCTTCATGGACTTCAATTATATTCATGCTCATCTTACATATCATTACTTATTTTATTTACCATTCTAAGCCTTCTATATTAACTTCTCCACATATTTCACACTTCTTAATTCTACCTTAATTAATCATCTTAGTTTAAATCATTATATTTGTATCTTTTGTCCATTTTTTATCATCCCTTATGAAAAAAAAAGAAAATCAGTTTCTCCTGAAATCATTAATCAGAGTATGATGCCTTTCTATCTCCCCCCTAAGTTAATCAAATTAATCTTTAAAATAATATCTAATACCCAATCAGATTTTGCTTGGTACATTCTATCTAACTAATACATCCAACACAATTAAATGCATAATTAGAGAATAAATCCAAATATTAAAAAGAAATACTATAATAAAAATTTTATAATAACATCAATACCATAATTTTATTAAACTCTTTAATTAAAACAATATTCTAAACCTCTCCTATTATTAAGTTTTAATACCAATCATTTTTAAACATTTTAACATTTTAATCTCTTATCAACTCTTAAACCATTGCAATACTACCATCTCATCTTATGTACCTTGCAAAATCTTTTTTTTAAAAAAAAATTATACTTTATCCATTATCCATAAAAAATTCCTTTTTTCCATTCAATTTCAAAACGTTGTAGCTTTTCTCCACCTTTTCCCTTTCTTTCTTTTCCCAACAAACCTTTCTACCCCCCCTTCTTCTAGCCTCTGCCTTACCGGCTTCCCTTCTCTGTCGTATTTCTTTTCCCCTTTGTTTACACTCATCATATTGGTTTTGCACTTTATTTTTCCCTTTCTTAAATGTTTTTTTAGATCTTAAGTCCTTAAATCCTTTAGTTTTCTTCTTTTCTCTTCTTTTCTTTTCTTTCTCTCTTCCTTTTTTCTGGATCAAATTCTGAGATTCATTAAAGATGGCTCCTTCCTTTCTTTCTTGTTCCTCTGCTGTCTTCATCTGTTGTAATTTTTGTTGATAATTAGTAAGCGCCATTTCTAAGAAAAGAAAAGCTTCTTCCACACCATTTCTCAGTTCCTCAACAGAAAGAGCCATTATAAATCTTTTCTTTTCTTTTCTCCTTCTTTCTTCTTACAACAACCAGAATATTCAAAAGAAAATAAAAAAGATAAAACAGTCCCAAAGTTATCAATCAGTCCAAACC